GTCTTGAAGAGAAGCAATTATAAGTTTGTTTTGTGAGATAAACTTGGTTATTCAGATGTGAATATTTGGCAGATATTTTTTCAAACACGAAGTGAACTGTCACTTCAAGGAAAACTAATGGTATATGTTCCCAGTAACAAAATTTAAGCTATCAAGTAAAAATCAGAATTTTGGAAAACATGTATCTGCCATCTGAATTTGAAAGCTTCTCAATTCTTGAGGCTTTTTTTTTAATGATATCATTGGTCATATTAAACATGATTTTTAAATTTTATGTGGGCAATGTATTAACATTGGGAAGATGTACGTAATTCAGTGAACCAGTAATTTCCAAATGTTGAATACGTGGTATTATAACATTATGCATGGGAAAAATGTTCAGTCAGAGTGCAAGGAAGACCAACAGGTTTTAATGAAACCCAGTGCAAAATTTTATTGATACGGTTTTGAATTCTATAGTGCAATGAACTGTTTAGAAATTACCCCTTGTACCGTTTAAGTAGTGTCGAAGAATAAATCTACAGTCATATAAAAAGGTCATTAAAATATTCTTCTTTTTTCCAACTATGTATCTGTGTGAGGCAAAATTTTCTTCATATATTTCAAACAAAATAATTATCAAACAGATTGAATGCAGAAACAGATACAAGAATCCAGCTGTCTTCTAGTAAGCCAGACATTGATCTATAAAAAATGTAAAACAATGCTATTCTTCTCACTAAACTTTACTTTTAGAAAATAATCTTCATAAAATGTGTATCATTTATGTATGTTAACATGAATTGCTTTAAAAGACATTAGTAAATATTTTTATAATTTGTCAGTTTTAATTTCTAATGCATAAATATTTTTATGACCTTCATAAACAAAAGCTCTTTGAGGACCTCAATATTTTTTTCAGAGTGTAAAGGAGTCTGGAGGCCAAGAAGTTTTAATTTCTTTGGTTTATGATACTGAAAGAATTTCAGATACAATTACAAAGCTGTTCTCTGAATAATAAGATCAGGAAAAGTACTATTAAATTCAGAGTTGGATAAACAATGCCTTATTCAGAAAAAAAAGTACTGCAGATAGGTTCTAGAAACTGTAGACTAATATACTTGATATTAATATTCAGGGGAACAATTAGAACAGCTTAAACAGAAAATAAAGTGGTAACCACTGGCTCCCAACACAAGTTCACTAAGAATAAATCATGCCAAATCAAAGAATGTTTGTTTCCTTGATAACCAGAACAGGAGATATACATATACTGTATTTCCCATTAAACATTTGACTATCTGTTACAAAACAATGGACTAGAGAACTGCCAGTAGATGAACCATGAATCAATCTACCTGAAGCAAAATGTGATAAATTCAAAAATGATACGAATGTGACCTAGAAGTGTTTAGTACTGATACAGAATGGGCTGGGAGTCAAGCCAGAATTCAAGTTCCTAGAGAGAAGTGCACAGTGATGTGGGTGGAAAAGATCAACTCATTAAACAAATATCTACTGTACCCTGTGTTTCAGGCACTGTACAAAGCATTATAGATAGAGAAGTGAACAAGTTAGATGAGATCCCATTCTTTGTGGCACTGACATCTGAAGCATAGTTGGATCTTTTCCTTCTTATGAAATGCAGGGATGAATTAATATGGAAGAAAGAAGAGTCAAAACTGTTAAATATAAAATGAACTAAAATTAATTTAGATTTGCTCTCCTCCCAAATGGGAATAAAGGAGGAAAAGAGAAAATGTTTGACCTATATACTTTAAAAATAACAGCATGGGACATAATATACATTCTAAAAACTGCATTTCCATCAGTCCGAGGTTGAGGGAAAAAAAAAAGAAAATAAGGAAGAGAATACACTTGAGACATATGGTAAAGAGATACAGAATAATCACCGTTGTACACGAATGGTGATGGTGGGGTTGATACATAGCAGAGAAAAACTATAATTCTAATTAAGGTATGCCCATTTTTTTTGAACTAACTCTCTTAAATTTCATGTATATCTAGCATCTGTGTAACTATTTTTATAAATGGGAAAGCACTATACAAATGTATAGCTTTCATATTATTAGCAAATGTCAAATCTTTACTGAATTCTACAATTCTTACAGAAAATCCCTTTACCCAACAGTTTTTGAAGGTTCACTCCATCTCTCCCCAAAAATAGTTCCTTTGAGTTTAATTCTTCAGTCATCATTCTCACATTCTATTTCTGTAAACAAAAAATTTAACTTGTAGTTGTGGGGAAATCACACAATCTCTAAGGTGCCTATTCTTTTTAATTGGTCTCAATAAAAATATTTGCTCAAATTTTTTTCATTCATAAACCTGTCAATGGCATTAACATGTTTGATGTCATAAAGTTTAATAAAAAACCCAATACATAACACCATGTACTCCACATTGCTGTCAGCATAAGATTGGTAGGCCCTTAAAGTCCTGAAGCTTCAAAATTAAAATGTTATATGTTCTCATTTTAAGTAGTACTCCATTTCTAAAAGTTAAAGAAGAAAAACCAATTTTAGTGTTACAACTCATATACCAATAGCATTTATTGCTTTGGTAAAAACAAATGATCTGTTAGTAAGATTTCATTATGAGCACACAACAAACTCTAAATAATTTGCAAATGGGTTATCCACAGACTTTCTGAATTCCCAGGTAGCTTCCCCAGGCTTCTGGGTCATTTCCCTCTACTGCTGTCAGTAGATATGCAGGGAGTGTTAATCCTAATATTTAAATATTGGTATTTACTTAGATTCAATCCAGAAAGCATTAATAATGCAAAACAAACAAAACATCTTATAATACATTCTAAGGTGAAATATAACTCACATGTCTGAGATTTCCTTAACATGTACGGTTAATGTTCTCATTTCTTTCAGCTCTTTCCTGACCACTCTATAAAAATAATGCCCCAAATATGACCACCAGTACTTTCCATGCCCCTTACCTTACTCCATTTCTTTCTAGAATTTATCACTGTCTGCAATAAGAAATATTTAAGTGTGTATTTGCCCCATCGACACACCCCCAAACCCCAGAATAAACTTCATGAGAATGAGGATGTTTTAGCTGTTCACTCAGTTCCTTAAACAGTTCTGAGCACAGAGTATGCACAGAATTTCTTAAACTAACAATGGGATTATAAGCACAATTCCCTTAGAATATAGGCAAGAAAACAACCCCATGAGTCTAGAGGTAAAAAGAAACCTAAGCAGAGAAGAGATGTTACAAAGTCTGTACAACTGATGCTCTATTGTATAGTAACTAAGAACACAGGCTTTAAACTTGGACAAAGTTGAATTCCAGTCCACTTATTAGTACTGATCTCATGGGTCTACTACTAACCCTCTATATAAAATTTATCCAATATAAAATAGGGATAATAAGAGCACCAACTTAACGTTGTTATTAAAGTGAATACATGTGACAAAGTGTGTAAAATATTTACAGCAGCAAATAAATGCTTGATAAAAGGGAGCTAACATTTTTTTTTTAAAGGGAGCTAACATTATCATCATTATTACCATCATCTCACTCAGGTTCCATAGCCTAATATTTCTCAAAGAATTCCTGGTGATACTGGCCATCTAGTTGCTAAATCCATACAGCTGAGAAGTGGCAATTTAGAGAGAAGGCAGTTGCCAAAAGTGAAAGTAGTAAAAAAAGATGGGAGGAAAATGAAAGTTTTCCTGAGGCATCACAGCACAATAATGATGTCCTGGGGATGGTGCTTCACCACTAAGAAAATAATGACATTATATTTAATACATTCAAGATGGGAAGAAAATATAATTCTCAAATTATGATGATTTACTTCAAAATGACTCACACAGTTTCTGTGTGAAAAATAACTTCCATTACCTTCAAAATTCACCTCCTACAAAAAAGGAGTCAATGAGGCATTATTCTAGAGAAGGCCTGGATATCTCTGCTGTAAAAACCCATCAGTGGGATTTATGCCAATCTCTCTAACGTTATTTTTGACACCCTATTAAAGATCAAATTGTCTCAATATAGGATCATTCTTCTCTCATAATCTGAAACAGATCTCCAGTGTGGACTTCAGGGAGGTAATAAATACTTCATTTTACTGTTATCAGTGACATTGCCTCAACCCTGTAAAAAAAAAAAAAACTACATTTATTTATTTCATTTCCCTTAGTGATGTAATAATAACCAGGGCCCTCCCTCAGAGATTAGGAAGAAAATCAAATTTTAAAAGCAAAACCACATTCCAAATTTCTTAAAAGATATTTTTTTTTGTTCAATTCCTTTGTAAAAACATTGGTCACCATTTAACATACAGTGGCAACAAAATGCACCCAATTTACATGCATCAACAAGTCAATAAATCATAATACACAGACAACATGAATTTCAAATGAACAGTACTAAATAGCTCATGTTGTATTTACCTATAGTTATGGTGCTTCCAATAAAGAAATATGAGAAAAAAGATTCCAGTTTTAATCTGAAATAAGGTTATTTGTGACAGGTGCCATGAAACAATGATTTTATGAAGTCATTATCTTAAAGAGAACCACTTTTCAGAAATCACTTTGTGCAAAGCACCAATACTCACATAGGATAAGATCTTGAAAAGATGTGTACCTTATGTTAAAGACAAAAGGGCTCCATTTCTTAAAAATTAATTATCTGAATGATTCAAATTTTTATTATGCCTCCAAATTTATATATCTTTCAACATGAAGGTTATTTATATATGCCATGTTTTGACACCTTAAATAATTCTGCAGACATTCAGCTAAACTGAAAGGTTCTGTAGGACTGAATTACTTTCAAGAGCAAAACGTGAAAACGTATAAAGCCCTTTCTAAGCTCACAGGCAAGGTTTCTGGATATGGGATTTAATTAACAAGAAGAAAATTTAAGCACCACAATAAAATACTTTTTAGAAAACAAAAAAGACTGGCAATATACAAGTTAGGAACAAATGCACTTAGACATTTACCCCCCACCCCCCCACCCCCAAAAAAACCCTGTTTAAATAAGCACTCTATTCCTACCAGCTAAAATAATTAAAAAATTCTTTTTGGTGTATACATGGTACTATGTGGAAGATAAAAACCACAATTCTGTTTAAGAAGTCAAGTTCTATAATCCTAATTTGTTCAAATGAGAGTGTTGTATTATTTGTACATAATAAGAATGTTATATACTTATTTTTATATTATATGATTTATTTTCTTCTTTTCCTTCAAAAATCTATGATTAAAGGATGGCCCTAAATTATTTTTAAGTGTAGAGAGGATAATTTACAACAAATTGCATTGTGGGAAAATACAGCCCCTCTGAAAATAAGAGGTCAAAGTAAATATGTGCAAATAAAATTTTAAGGTAACTGTAAATACAGCCATCTTAGAAGTTTCCCTTCTTTTGCATCTATCAAGCAACATAAATAATTTCAGTGGCCCAAACAGTAATTTTATTTTCAGTTTTTCTCCTCCATGATGTGTTTACTCTTACAAGTAAGAGTAATTTTTTAGCATATATAACAGGCCACATGCTAAGAAATTTTAAGGGCTCATAAAATTAAAATTTATAACTCATATATAGTTGTACTATACATGTCAAATATGCAAGGCTGAAAATAAATAATTTCAACCTAGAATATTATTTAAACATCACAATAAAAAAAAGAACAACAAAAAAGATTTCTCCTCACATAGTTTTTGACTACTAAACTATTCATAGCAAAAAAGCAATATCTAAAATATTTAGTCTTCACCTCAGAGTAAGTTATCCAGAAATAAAACTCACTAAACGAGATGAGACATAAGGATATGAGTATGGAGTACTCTGATTCAGTCAATTCAGATGAGACGACGCTCATCTCATCTGAGATGAGAATGGGGAAAAAGAAATCCATCCTAAACAATAGAATCTATATCTCATTAACCTTCCAAATGTCACTTCAACTTCACCACTTATATCATAAACCTTCTCGACAGTTCCCATTTTCTTTTCTCTAAAAAAATTTTTAGCCTCTTAATTTCCAACTGTCAGGTCAAACCTCTTAGTTTACTCTAACTCCACAATCCTCATTTATAAAAGACCCTAAGATAATCATTTTCTTCCCCTCAGGAGCAGAAGCTATGATGTAATGATTCAAAATTGAGAAATTGGAGATTTAAAAAAATCAATGAAAATAATACAGTTACTAATAACATACATGGTTTTATGTAGTAGGGACACCACATAATACTTATTCTGATTAACCTCTGGCTCTTGAGACAGTGAGGTCAGAAAATTCAAATGAGTAATAGATACTTAAAATACGTAAAGTGTGTGTCTATTTTGAATAGAATAAGAATTTTAAAATGACTGAAATTATATGATTGTATATGTTCAGTGTAAAATAGTACAAAATTGATGTTGCCAAATAGAGTAAAAAAAAAAAACCTTTAACTTATATGAAACATCTTAAGTAATGTGGCAAAAATTTCAAAGCTGAGTTGTAATTAGAGAACAGTGACAACAGAAGATCCTTTCATGCATGCATACGCATGAAGTAACAAGTATGCAAAACCCAACTCAGTACAGTACATCAATGGCTGATACTTAAATGATATTTTGATATAAAGAAAAAGGTAAAATGTTGACTGCACTTGGTGAAAAAGCATTTCAACAATTTACACAAAATGGATACTAAACATTTTGTTAAAAAGATGTCCTAAGAAAACCAAGCCACAATAAGTTAGTGTTTTCCATAATACATGCTGAATTATTTGATCCCATATCTATACACTGTTATTGTCTTAATTCCTAAATGTTGTGACAGCATATTTAGTAATTGAGGTACATCAGTTTACAGCTTTTTATAAATATTCTAAGAGGGTTAATTTTTCGTTTCCAGTTTTTCATCTTCTTCACCTCCTCCAAAGAAAAGCAAAGGAAACATTCCTAGAATGCAGCCAATAGTCACCCCAACAGCTTTGCCCTAAGGAAACAAAAGAAAACATTTTTTGAAAGTTATTTTATCCCTGATAGAAGAATCCTTGCCTAAGTCTCTACAATAAACAATTTCTATGTGTTATAAAATTCAACTGTAACCGCATTTCTTTTGATCATAGTAACTTAAACATAAAAATAAGCCACATATGACAAAGGAGGCAAGAATATGCAATGGGGAAAAGACAGTCTCATAACTGCTGTCGGAAAAACTGGACAGCTACATGCAAAAGAATGAAACTGGACCGCTTTCTTATACCATATACAATAATAAACTCAAAATGGATGAAAGACCTAAATGTAATAAGACCTGAAACCATAAAAACCCTAAAAGAAAACATAGGCAGTAATCTCTCAGACATCAGCCTTATAGCAACATTTTTCTGGATCTGTCTCCTAAGGCAAGAAAAAACAAAAGCAAAAATACAGAACTGGGACTACTTCAACTAAAAAGTTTTTTGCAGAGCAAAAAATATCAACAAATGTCACAGCAATCTACTCAATGGGAGAAAATATCTACAAATGATATAACCAATAAGGGGTTAATATCCGAAATACATAAAAAACTCCTACAACTTAACACTGAAAAAGAATTTGATTATAAAATGGGCAGAGGACCTAAAATAGACATTTCTCCAAAGAAAACATACAGATGGCTAATACGAAAAGCTGCTCAATACTACTAATCAGGGAAATGCAAACCAAAACTACAAGGAGATATCACCTTACACCTGTCAGAATGACTAAAATAAAAAACACAAGAAACAAGAAGTGGAGAAAAAGGAACCCTCATGCACTGCTGGCAGGAATGCAAACTGGTACAGCCACTGTGGAAAACAGTATGGAGGTTCCTCAACAATTAAAAATATAACTACCACATGATCCAGTAATCACACTACCATGTGATTACAAAGAATACAAAAACACTAATTCAAAAGGATGTATGTACCCCTGTGTTTATTGCAGCATTACGTACAATAGCCAAACTATGGAAACAGCCTTAAGTGTCCACTGATAAATGAATAAAGTTGTGGTGTACACATACACACACACACGGGAATATTATTCAGCCACAAAAAAGAACGTAACAACATGGATAGATCTAGAGGGTATCATGCTAAGTGAAGTCAGTTAGAGAAAGACAAATACCATATGATTTCATTCATATGTGTAATTTAAGAAAAAAATAAACAAAGGGAAAGGAGAGAAACAAACCAAAAACAGACTCTTAACTATAGAGAATAAACAGATGATTACCAGAGTGGAGGTGGGTGAATAGGTGAAGAGGATTAAAAGTATACTTATCTTGATGAGCACTGAGTAATAATATACAGAATTGTTACATCACTGTATTGTATACTTGAAACTAATTTAACTTGTCTTTAAAAAGACAAGAAAAAAACAAGCATTGGTGAGGATACGGAGAAAAGGGAATCCTTGTGCGCTGCTGGTGGGGAAGTAAATTGGTGTAGCCACTACGGGAAATAGAATGAAGGTTCCTCAAAACATTAAAAATGAAAATACTATATGATCCACTAATTCCATTTCTGGGTATTTACCCAAGGGAAAAAAAACACTAATTTGAAAAGATATATGAACCCATATTTTTAGTGTAGCATTATTTATAATAGCCAAGATACAGAAGCAATCTAAATGTCCATCAACAGATGAAGAAGATATAGTATATATATGTATGTGCACACACACACATACATGTATGCAAGTATAAATGTATACATACATTTGTATATGTATACACATGTATACATGCACACACACAAACACACAGAGAGACAATGGAGTCTACTACTCAGCCATGAAAGAGAATGAAATCTTGACATTTGTGACAACGTAGATGGACCTCAAGGATATTATGGTAAGTGAAATAAGTCAGACAGAAAAAGACAAATAACATGATTTCACTTACATGTGGAATCTAAAAAACAAAACAAATAAAAAAACAGAAATAGATTCAGATATAGAAAACAAAGTGGTGGTTGCCAGACAGGAGGAGATGGAGGGGATGGGTGAAATAGGTGAAGGGCAGTAAGAGGTACAAATTTCCAACTGTAAAATAAGTAAGTCATGAGAAAGTAAAGTACAGCATAGGAAGTATAGTAAAAAAATGTAACAATTTTGTATGCTGATAAGTGGTGACTATACCTATTGTGCTATTTTGTTAATATAGATATAACTGTTGAATCACTAGGTTGTATACCCGAAACTAATATAATATTGTATGTCAACTACGCTTCAATAAAAAAAATAAGTTACAATAGGGTTCTAGAACAAGTAATATTTAAAGTCCAATGCAACTAGGAAAAGTTTTCTCAAATTGCCGTGAAATAACACCAAAGAAATATTCAAGTAGAAAAACACTTCTTAGAAATTGTACATACATTTTAACATCTGAAGATAGGAAGATAGGGGAAAAAAAAACTCACCAAATACTCTCAATATATTTGGATTTGCTCCTTTTTGTATATATTCCTTTTTCAATATTAATCCCCAGATATAGCTAATTATATGTAGGTCTAATAATTATGTAAACATAGCTTTGTATTCTGTCTCAATTCTTCCCCCATAGCCACATGTTACAATAAGCCCTTTGCAAACTGTTTCATAAACTTATTATCAAACTCCTAAATTCCACTGGATTGATGGCCTTTAATGTTTAAAGCTCTCCTTATATCATTAAAAATCATTGCTACTTTTTCGCCAGTGTAAGTGGTATTACAATAAACATTTATGTGTATAGTTCTTCCCAATGATTTGCTTAAAAATCACATAACATGAACATTTGTGCATATTCATAGTATAATGAATACCATGCTATCTATTCTAAGCAAAACTGACAGCAACTACATATATACCAATTGAAATACAGTTGATCCTCAGACAACAAAAGGTTTTAACAACACAGGTATGGATCTACTTATGTGGGGGTTTACCCACATAAGTACTATACATGTTTTTTCTCTTCCTCGTGATTTTCTTAGCAACATTTTCCTTTCTCTGGCTTACTTTATTCTAAGAATACAATATGTAATCTATATAGCATACAGAATATGTGTTAATTAACTATGTATGTTACTGGTAAGGCTTCCAGTTAGCTATTAGTAGTTGTTTGAGAAGTCAAAGTTATACATGGATTTTCAACTCATGGGGGTTGATGGTGCCTCAACCCCCAGGTTGTTCAAGAGTCAACTGTATATGTATAAATATATGTATATATACACACCCAATTTTTTTACAACCATACCTACACTATGAACACTTTTAAATGTTTATCTTTGTAAATAATTTTTAAAATTTGAATTTCTATGATGACCATCAGGGTTAAATCTTTTCAGGTAAGTTTTATTTCTTCATACAAACTTTACTGAGAATCTACTATGTGCCAAAGTCTGTGCTAGGTACCAGAGAAACAAAAACTAATTAAATGCAGTGTCTCTCTCTTTCAGGAACTTCCAATTAGTTATAAGGAGAAAAGCAAATAAATAAAACAGATTCTATCAGACATTACAGGTGCTATGATAGCTACATAATCAACAATCTTGAATACAATGTTTTTTCTTATATATTATCCATATTTATCCATCAGACCCTTCAGGTTTTCTTTTTTTTTTTTTTTTTTTACCCTTCAGGTTTTCTAATAAATTTCAAGATTAGACATTAGTGTTTTGACAACAGCTTGCATAAAAATTTTCAACTCTGTTATTTTTGGGTTTTTGGTGGTAGTGATAGTGATGGTGGTGGTGATATGCCCATGCTTTATGTTAATAGTCAGATTTGTCATTTTCATCATGTCATTTCATCATCTCATTTTCATCAAGCTTCAAAAAGTATCACTCTTACAGAGCTTTAATAAGCAGAAATTTTCTTCTTCATTCCAGATGCTAAAACTTAATCCTAGATCCTTATCTTGACCTTAAACTTTATATTCATTTATATTTGTTTATACACACAGAGAGATTATTTTATTTAGATTTATGACTTTCCCATATACATGAAATGTTCATAGCTTCTTCTACTTCTCACCCATTCTGTTAGAATGCTTGTTACTATTTTCCATGGAAAGCAAGGCTTTCCTCCTGCACTCACTCTAGGACTGCCAGTTAATGAGTTCCAATCCAATTATCTCAATGAGGCATAAAGTCAATAGGGCAGAGAGGGAGGAAAGAAGTGGGATAGCCTTTTCCAGCTCTGCGATTCAGAAACTGAAACATCTTTCCACTGAAAAATCAGTTACCTATATATATATTATTATCAGGTCATATGATAGTCTAGGCCTTACAAGTAACTACACTAGGGCTAACCCAAGAACTTGAGTACATCTGTAACACAGTTCGGCAAGAAAACATTTTCTGAATTTCAATCAGCTGAATTATAAATGAGGTTTTAAAATATAACCCATGTCAACAGGAACCTGCATATTCATTTGCATATATTCCATTATGGGTAAATTTCAGAGTTAGCTTATGCCATGAATAGATTACTGATCAGTAGCTTAAATTACTTCAGGCTATTCATTAATTGAATGTTATGTTACAAGAGTACATTCAATCCTAACATAAAAGAAGAGTCAACAACCAAGAAATAGAAGCACTTCATATGCTAGTAGAAAATTTATCAAAATACACACAGATACACACATTATCTATCCATCTATTATCTATCTATACACTAGCTTAGTAACTGAAGTACTTTTATAATAGGAGAAGGGAATGGACCTGCTTATAATACAGAACGAAAAAACAATGATCAATTACATGAAAAGAAAGCCAAGGAAAATCTTTTCTTGATCCCAATTGCAGTGCTAAAATGTCAAGCCAAATTGCTAGAATGTTAGAATATCCTGATTCCTCAACATTTCTAGCAGAAATCAGACAACTAATCTCACTTAAATTTATCTATAAATTGCAGGATATGGATACATACACATGATTTTCTACACAGAAATAGGTGAGTCTAAGGTGGAGCCTGAGATTTGGATTTGTAACAAGTTTCCAAGTAGGGCTGATCTTTCTGGCCATGGCACTACACTTTGAGAATCACGGTCCTGTCTAATCTCACTTTCTCCCATGATTTTAACTATCACCTTTTCAGTGCGGCCTGCAGTGACTCTCCTATTTAATCCTGCAAGCTGTCTCTATCCCAGCACTCTCAACCTTTTTTACCCTGCTCTTTCTTTTTTCTTTAATTCCTTTAACATTTGCAAACTTCTAGTACATTAAACATTTTATTTATCCAATTTTTTATTGTCTTCTCTCCACTGCTAGAATGTAAGATCCATAGAAAAAAAGATCTTGTTTTGTTAACCAATATATTCAAAACTCCTACATGTGTACTATGCATTTAGTAGAAAATAATGAATATTTGTTGGAAGAATAACTGATAATACTCATCATCTCTAATTCAGACCTCTCTAACTTTTAATCCAAATGCCTACTAGGTATTACCACTTCAATGTCCTATAAGCATCTCAAATTCAACTTACTGAATCAAAAAAGATCTCATAGCCTTCCTTAACTTGTCCTTCCTCCCTTTTTCTTGACTTAATTGGTGGCACTGTAATATATCTACTTTCCTTCCTACTTAAAATTCTTCACTTAGCACTCCATCACCTAGTTATGAGGTTCAAGCTCTTTAACATAGCGTATACATATAAAGAATATTCTAAAAATCAAATACATCTACACAAAATAAACAATAAAAAATTATCCTTCTTCTGAAAACTGCCAAAGCTTAGACAATTTTGTTAAACACTCCACTCAAATCAAGTTAGTCTCAAATTTCTCAAAGGACTGAACTATACAGTATCTTGCTCTGGCTACCTGAATTCATTATCATAAACCATATAAAGTACTTACAAAATGTGTACTAACACGTGTTTGCCACATGTCCACTTGTTTTGGTGTAAGATCAGGAATTGACAGACCTAATCTGGAAGCCAAAGCTTCAACATAGCCTGCAAGTCTTTAAAAAAAAAAAACAGAAAGAATGTAAGTTTTTAAAGAGATACACGAATGTCATTAGATAATTAATTAGTACAAAAAGAAACCAGATAATTTTACACCTGTAACTGGCACTCTAGAAATGGAGTAAATGTTTTTAGAATTTTCATTTTTATTGTGCATAAATATATATAGTTTAAAAATATGTTATCATTAATGTATTCAATGCATAAACTAATTGGCTTAGAGTAATTATTCTCTTTTATATATGTATGTATTTATTTAGAGAGAGAGTGAGTAAGTGGGGATAGGAGAGTGGGGGGAGGTGAGAGGCCAAGGAGGGGGGAGAGAGAGAGAGAGAGAGAGAGAGAGAGAGAGAGAGAGAGAGAATCTCAAGGAAGCTCCACACCCAGTGCAGAGCCGGACATGGGGCTCAATCTCACAACCTGAGATCATGACTTGAGCAGAACTCAAGTGTCAGATGCTTAACCAACTGAGCCACTCAGGCACCCCGCTCTTTTATTTAAAAGATTATTTCAAGGTATATACAGAATTTTTGCAATAAAATTGCAATTATGTACTTATTCCAAGTTCAAAGCAAAGCACATTTTCATTTCATATGATATAAATTAATAACTGTCACCAAAAACAAAAATTTCCAAAATTTATTAGATTGATATATTAAGAAAAACAGCCTAGAATTTTGAAGGCAATCTCAAGTATTATCAAATTTAACTTCCCATCATTTATTGGATACAAACTTACTTTGTGAACTACAAGGGAAAAAATTTGCCAATTAAACTATGCATATATCAGTTATAAGATGGATCCCAATATCAGATATGTTAAGTTCTACAAAAAAAAAAACTATGTACCTAAGAATCAATAAAATGTAGTATTTGTTATTTAATGATATTTTTAAAGGCAGAGAATAGTTCTAAACACAAAGACTCCCAACAAAATCTTTATCTCTAATCAAAAATAACTAATGATACAAGCTAAAATTAAATGGCTTTAAAAGCTATTAAATCACTTAGTTCTATTAATTATAAAAAGCTATCACAGCAGCTATAATATTACCAATATTAACCTTAATGTTGGAAATGGGGAAACAGAATGTGTAAGGGGTGATATCATTATAGATTCATGTCAGGAATCTGAGAAATATAAAATTTCTACCCTGGCCCAGATGCAAAGAAACTTTGTGTTTTAAGAGTAGCTTTAGCTTCAAACTCCAGTACAGAAGTCTCATACACAGGGTTAGATCACTTATAAAGCTGCTTCTTCCTAGATTATAGGATAGGGCTAAGTTAACTACTAGACTCAAATCCAAATCTCAAAAATTACCACTCTCATGAACCAAGGAAGGAAGAAATAGAGCCAAAGACTGAGCAAAAGAGAGTATGTTTATCACAATAATTAATGCCAACTTAGTCTAATTTATACTTTCTAAGCTTCCTCAAGCTCAGGAGGCAGCCCAGACCATGTGCTGCGTGGAAGAGAGAATGTAAAGTGAGTAGGAGAGAAAGCTGGCCTTTTCTAGTAGGCGTCCTTGCTTTGTTTCATCATTCTTGTCACATGGAATAAAGACAGCAAAAACTGGCCAAACCCATGTATGACTGGCCATTACTACTTTTGAAAGTTCCTTTTTTTCCAGAAAACATGCCCAGTTGGGAGCCTCCCATTTGAGCCATATCTCTTATCTTTGAGCTTAGTGAGAGAAGGGTAGTGTGAAACAATGATGAAGTTCTTGGTTTTAATCCTGTCTTAACCTTAGAAATGTCTATAAAATACATATAAATATTTCAATAAATGAAAATTAAACTCTGCTTAAATTACAGTCATCTTAGAAAAACTTTGTGCATCTATCAATCTCCTGAGAAGATTTTAAACACAAACTCCAGGTCCTTATACCCAGAGGTATAACCCAGGCATTTATATTTGATGCACACCAAAGATCTAGTACTACTGATTTACAAATATTAAATTTAAAACTTTAGTTTGAAAACATACACAATAAATGTCCCATATTTTTTATCTTTCTCAATTAAAGAATGGAGAAGAGAAAGAGTAAGTCGTACACACATGCACAGGTGAACAGATGAATGTACCTACCCAAGTCCAGCTAAATCTGACACAAGATTTCCCAAAGCAGCAGCTAAAAAATTGAGAAATGAGTAAGTGACTTGTTACATGAAAGTCAGAAAAGTCATCATAATATATCGCTATAACATCAACAAAGCACTGATCTGGAAGAGTAATCACAGTTTCTGAAACTACAACTATATCCAAAGTAACTCACTGGATAATTCTGAATCTCAAGATTTTAAAATAGAACACAAGTCCTTTGGGATTATACTGTTCTACTTCTATCAAATAATAGGTTTTCTTCTGTTGTGGTAGCCAGTTTCCATTTTGGTTTCAATATCTATACAATATTTTGAGTTTTATCTTTTATATTTAGGGAAATTTGGATATTTGGAAGTTAAAGCTTTATGAATAGCTCTGAAATTCAAGAAAATCATAGAGAAGAAATATCTCTTTCATGGACTCATCTACTCACAATGCTTTCCAAACAACAAACACAACACTGAACCATTCCTAAATTTCACCATCATGAAAAACAGATGGTAACTAGGGGAAAGACAGTAACAGAACCAAGTTAGATTTCAAACTTATATTTTCTTCTTTGGTTTTTCTACCCAACTTGAAAACAAATTAGTAGAAACAAGAGTAAAAAAGTTTTGGGGTAACATTGAATTAAGAGAAAAACTGATTTTAACATAGTACAGCACTGTTACTCATTAACTAAGATAAAGTACCTAAAATTTCTCAAGAAAAAAGTGCTACATATACAAAATTAAGAATTAGAAGAACAGGATTAAGGAGACAAACTAATAGACATTTCAATGAGTAAACTTATTCAAATAAATTATCCTCTAGTAAATCTAAGCTGCTAAAATGTTTTATAAATATACAGAAAATGGATAATAAAATGACTATTATTAAATACCTGCCATAGTTGATATTCCCAAAATAATTCCAATAGACATCTCAATATGGGTTCCCTGAAAAATGATTATAAAGAAATTAATCTTAAAAACTAATGCTGAAGTGACTATAAAAAATAGCAAAGTATTAAAAAACAGAGAGACTGGTTAAACCCATAGGTTATTGCAGCAAAATTATATATATAAAATATGCAGAAATATTCATATAATGCAGTAATGTACTTATCTATTAAATGTATGCATTTATGAGGAAACATCAATATCACTTGATTCATTAAAATTATACTTTCATAAAAATAGCAAAAACATAATTACAATACAAATAGCAATATAACCCATCATTAAAAATCTAAAATTTATATTTTCCAGCCACAAAGAAAGATTCTTTAAACCTCTTGGAACACAAAAATCAACTCACCTAGTTTTAAATTCTGAATGATACACATACATTATTGTTATTTACTCTACCAAAAGAGTTTAAAAAAAAAAAAAAAAAAACAGACTCAACTAATTTCTAAGGACCCAAGAGATCAAACGTCAAAAATTATCTTTATATCAATGAGTCCTTTAACCATTAGGTAGTAAGACCATATGATTCATTTATAAGCAACAACAGATAGATCCTCAGTAAAAAACAAGACTCTACTGCATTTCCACTGAATTTACTGAGAGAGTTTCATACTTTCCACATCCGTCCCGTTCCTTTATAGACAAGAGAGATTCATATTTGTACTTCCATTTTAAAGAGAAGAAACTGAAATGAAGAAGGTTAAACTATTCTAATGGGTTATTACACAGAATAAAGAAGAAATCCTATGATCTACTGTGCTGAGTTCTAACGCTTGGGCAATGTTGCCATAAATAGATTTAATTTTCCTCCTGAAGAGTGATGCTTGAAAATTCTAAAACAAATTTTTAAATCTCAATGATACTTACAGAGAGAAAAAAAGAACACTATCTGGTATGTAGAAATATTGCATTACTTAATTATTTATAAAACTGAAGAGAGGCTGAGTTGAATTTTCCTCATTTTTCTCTTGCCTAGGCCTTTCGGTTCCAACCCTTTAAAACACAATTCTTGTTGGATATGGAGAGAACAGCCTGATGCATAAGTCTCCTAAGTATTTAAGATCACAAGGAAGGTTTTAAAGGAACCCCAAAAAAAACCAGATTTCTGAAAGAAAATGAACAGAACACACATAAAGAATAACGATGTGTATCTTTATATACGGATGAGAAAAAAAAACTCACAAAAAACTGGAGCACTAATATAGAAAAAAGGCACCTGACAGGTACAGTACATAAAAAATAAATATAGCTTCTTTAGCAGCAATGAATCATTAGGCATGCCCCAAGAAAAATCTGTTTGCAATACATGTATTTAAAAAGTGTTTAAGTGCTTAATCACTTAGTTGTATTTAAGAAACCTGAAGGACCTTCTAACAACAAAAAAAGCTTCAAACAAAGTCAAAGACAGATTGAGGACAATAGACTACTAGTCTTTACTTTTCCCCATAGTTACATCAAATTCTGTTATACATCCAATACTAGTTATCTTAAAATTACATCTGGTTCATCACCTGAATACAATTAAACTACTCTAGAATTCTAATAAATTCTATTCTAATTAAATTGTAAGAAACGTAATCCAAAAAAAAAAAAAACCACCACCAAAATATGTTATAAAAAGCAATACCAGTAATGCAAAAAGAGAATACAAAGCTATGAAACCAAAGGCTGAGTATGAACAGCAGCCAACAATAAAGGTCAATCTATTACAGGAAGTTACATAGGAATTTGTTTTGATGACTACAACTAGGATGGCAACCAAAAGAGGAGAACAGGAAAGAGGAAAACATCAAATGTCAATGACATGATAGAAAAGAAGAATCAAATATTTCCTTAACCTACTATCTTAAAACAGTCAATCTGTCCCACAACATTAGAAGGCAATCAGTGTTTTTAAAAAATTAAAAGGTGAAAAACATTCTTAGGATGATGACGACTATTTTCCCTATTCACAGATTCTAGAATTATATTATTTAGGTATTTTAGTTTCAGCAGCCTATTTATTATAAAACTCTTTGGGAAATTTCACTGTTCCTGAACTAGTTTGCAATTACCACTGAATAACAAATTTCCCACACAAACTGCTCTTCATCAGGTACTGAAGCCAGTGGTTTAAACATTTCTTTCAATATTATATGAGTAAAAACTAGTATATGTCCCTGAAACTGAATTTCAGTGTAAACTTCAAGAACACGTATTAATTACTAACTTGGAGTCAAGCATCTCAGACCTGGAAAAATAGCTCACTCTCAGTTATACTAACAATGAGACACAGGCCCAAGTAACAGAAAACAGTAAACAACATTACAATAATTTGACTCTAGAATGTGGGTGTTTCACTGTTGGTAGCTGTATTTAGATGCAGATTATCTGTTACTTTAGATATTTATTTCAAAGAAATAACACACTGTGAACATTTTATTCAGGGTCTATGAAGCTACCCAGTTTCCCTATTCTGAACCCTCTTCAAAATCTCTGTTCACTTTTTTTTAAAAGACCCTATTTTATTTATTTATGAGAGATACAGAGAGAGAGGTAGAGATAGAAGTAGGCTCATCACAGGAAGCCCAATGTGGGACTCGATCCTGGATCCCGAGATCACGCCCTGAGCCAAAGACAGATGCTCAAACGCCAAGCCACCCAGGTGTCCCATCTATGCACCTTTCTTTATACAAAATATATCATCTCAATACTTCCTTGTAGAAAGGATAGTCTTTCAGCATTTGACTATCCAAGGTCTGCCCTACTGAGGTGGAAAAAAATGAATATGAAGGTAGTAGTGTGGATACTAGCTCTCAATTAGGAGAAACTGAAATATTGAGTTGTGTAAAACCGAAAGATAGATTTGTCACAGAGAAACTAAGAACATCAAGAACTATAGCTTATAAATCCATGATAGTGACGTTTTCATTATAATTAGATATTATTTATTATTCATTAAATAATCTAACCAACTCAAATTTTAGTAATTTCACTGAAAGCAGTGTGGTTCTAAGTTGCTGAATATTCAAATATATTTTCTCAAATTCACAGATATATAAATTTGCCAATTTAATACTTATATATATATATTAGGAAAATGTCATAATCAGTCAAAAAACTAGCGTTCTGAAATTATATATTAGAGGCTCTTGCCAGGATGCTTTGCTAAAGAACTATGCAGTGGGCGCTCTCACTTTCAAGTTGTGTACATGCTAGAGCACCTTCTGTGACTATTTAGGCAGCAGGATACCTTCTTATTGTGTGAACAAAGGTGAATAGCCAGACTTTCTGGATATCTGAGCACCATTAATCTGGACATAAGATGAGACTATATAATAGCAAAAAAAAAAATTCATTTTAGATATTCTTTTAAGAATTTTAGATATTCTTTAAGCAAATTTTATAATCTACACAATGTAAATCCTACCTTTAATCCCTGTTTTGAAACCAAATATTCTATTTATGTCCATCTGTAGTACATGTGACCTCCAAAACACCAAAAAAAAAAAAAAAACCACCCAAACCTTGCAGCTCTCATATGTATTTTTCTCACATTCAATAATCCTAAAATCATTTTTTTTTTAACGGTCTCTTACACAACAGCTACCATTTACATCGTTTTTTCAAGTTAGAGTCAGTGAAAAGAAGTGGATAAAGCACTGGGCAGTTTTAGAAGCTTGCATTTTAATCCATGGACTCATCTCTGGCTTTAGAAATTGAACCAATATTGGTATTCATTAACAAAAGGTGCCACTCAATGGTAGGAAAGGTAAATAAGGCTTCTCTGAGACTAAACACTTTTAAGGAACACATTTACATTAAAATGACTACAGCAAAGGGGATTTTTTTTTTTTAAAACACTACAATGGAACAACGACAGAAAGGAGATACACTCAGTGTTCTCAACTAAAACTTAAAATATCTTTCGATTAAATGGATAGATTATATCAAAACACCCTTTAAAACATTTCTGCATGGAAAAACTAAACAAGGAGCTAACCAAATAACATATATGTGATGAAAACTGTCAATAAAATTAAAGATCAGAAAACTTATATACTTTTTCCTTTAATAAGAATGTTGAAACTAGAGAATAATATAGACCTAATAAATGTGTTTATTACTGTCAATGCTTTACCAAAAGTCTTAATGATTAATATATACAATGAGTTAAACCGGAATGATAGTCTAATTAACATGAAATATAATAAAAAATAGCCTTGTTCATTATGATGTTAATTAAAATTTTACAGCTAGGATATATAAATTATTAGGAAAATTTAGACCACATTACTTTCTTTATTAACCCAAAATAGAAGGGGTGAAAGAAAGAACTTACTGCAACAATCATAATTGCATTATCCAAAAAGCCAAACCCTATGAAAGGTATCGCATTGTGGATGAATACTGAAAAACATCAAAAACAGAAAATATATTTTAAGATTTCTGTAACTTCAAATAAGAAAATAGACCATATGATTAGTCTCCTAAACAGATCTGACAACTTTTGAAATTTGCTTTCCATTTCCCATAGCCAAAAGATTCTGTTCCTGCTGTAAGTTAAACTACTTCCTAGAAGCTACACTGGGGACACAAAACAAAATTAAAAAACATGTAACATGTAAAAATAACTGTGTTAGACTTCTGACTTGTTTTCTTACTAGCTACACATACAAAGTACATACAGTTAACAGGCGAACAAATAAGTAAATACATATTACAAGTACCATGTTTTTCCTGTTTATTGCTATTGATATCAAACTGTTTCTTATACCTAAAGACTAATATCATAAAATTAATCTCCATATTAGAAATAATTTTAAAATACTCTGAATCAAATTTCAGGGAAGCTATCTGGTCACTTTTACTCACTAACCAATTTCTGGAGAAATGTGAGAAAAATATAATTACTCATCTATATTAGCCATATATATGCAGCTTTTCCTCCCCTCATAACATCAGTATTCCTGAAAGCTTTCACAAACTATTTGATTTAAATAAAAATGGAATTTGGCCTCTTACTAACAGAGGCACATCTTACCTTATCTATCTAATACAGAATTTGAATGACCTGACATAACAGAAGTGTAACTAGGAAGAACTAATACCTATATGCTTTTTATACATTCAGTCTCATCTTTTTCATATTTGCATCTTCAGCACATTGCAGAATGCCTAGTGCATAGCAGATACTCAAATGAACATTAGTTAATTAAGTTGAGGACCACTAACCTGGAAAGGAAGAGAATTCCATATTAAGAGAACTGAAGGCAGACTGTGAAACAGATTAAAAGCTGGGATAGTTAAAAGACTTTATTCTAATTCATCTATAAAATTGCCAAGATAGAGCCAACATCAATTCAAATGATGACTTTTTAAAATAAACATCAAAGTTGTGAGTTTTATAACATATCCAAAAACTAGTCCCTTAAACGAATTAGCTGTATGTATTCAGTGACATTAGAGTGTCTTTTCTTTTAATGCATTAAGTCCACAGAAAGTATAATTAAAATATAATCCAGAAGTTATGGAAGTGTGACATTACTATAATGAGTTCTGCACTAATCCAGGGAAGGCTAATAAGTAGTAAACAAAATAAAATGAAAAACGCTTCTACCCAAAACCACTATTGAAGACTAAGATCACAGGAAAAAGGTATATATATCCTAGATCATTTCAGATGTCTTCTTGCTATCAAGAGAGAATGTTCAAGATAAAAAGTAGCATCTTTTTAATTATAAAGAATATTATTTTTAACAGTATTATTTTAAAAGCTATTAAAGATGGTAAAAACCAAATAGTATATTAATGAAATGGGATTTTTCAATTAAAGAATCCAGCCTTAGTTCTTTGATTTTAACTAAGTCTAGCTGCTTAACTACTAGACATTCAAAATTTTATTATAAGCAACCTTGAAGTATAAAATATATCATGTTTTTATGCTTAGACCAAAATAAGTGTGTCATATAAATAAAAATGTATTGTCAACACAAAGGAAAAAGTATAATTTTCGAATTGTTACATAAACATGTACTAGACACTCCAGTGGGCATGAGATACAAAGATATGTAAGAGTTGGGTTACCAACGCTCAAGAAGTTTGGGTATGATAACATACTATATCAATAGTTAATTTCAATATGACAAAAAAACTGATAATAGTATTATACAGTGCTATGGACATGAATTTGCATGAACCTAGGCTAGGTGGATCAGGAAAAATTACCAGGGGAAGAAAAGTTGTAAAAGAATTCTTAAATGTTTTCGTATTTAGGAAAGTAACTTCTTCCTAATATAAATTATATTCTACCTCTGAGAGAAAAAAGAATGGCTAATTAATAAGCTTTTAAAAATTATATAGCTTGCTCTCCAGTAATGTAATGACCTCCTATTAAATTTGTGATTTCTCCAATTTCCTTTGGGAAATACTACTCTGTAAAAGCAAATCACATCTAATATTTAGCATTCACTTACAACCTACTCAAATTCACTGTACCATTAAAATATTCTCTTCTTTTACTGTCTTTATAAGATCCCAAACTGCTTTACATTATGCCAGTATTAGCCTTGACTATTTATTCCCATCATAATCGAGTAAAGAAAGTACATCAGTGCCATTATAAGCTTCTTCTTCCTGGTGGTCTTAAATGAACTTAACTTTCTTCATCATCATAAACAGCAAGCTGTATTTTCTCCATCAGAGAACAGTTCTTACGTAGCCCTGAGCCCAGACTTTCTAGTTCTGAAATTACCCAATTAAATCCAAACTAAAGTAAACATATCCTTTTTCTCTGGGAATTTAGAAAATCCTACCATTAATATAATTTTATTTCTGGATTATAACAACAGTTTAAGAATGATTGATACTGCTAACAATATTAGAAATTCCATTAGGGTAGAATGGGGTAACTGGGTGAAGGGCACTGAGGAGGGCACTTGATGGGATGAGCACTGGGTGCTTTACTATACGTGGCAAATCAAACTTCAAAAAAAAATAATAAAGCAGGTAATTTACTGAAAAAATATTGTAATGTATCTTAAATCAAGTTTATAAACTTTCTGTTTCAGCATGATAGATAACCCATTATACCTGAAAAAATTAAATTTACTGACTCTTCTATACTAACAGTAAATGATATAGTTATTTCAAATCTAAAAGACAGATGCACAAATATTTAACAATTATAGAACCATTACCATATCTCAGCTGTCCTGGGGTGGGTGGTGGAGCTTCCAATTTTTCTAAAGGGGAAAAAAAGGGTTTAAGTCAAGAATTAGTTACTATAGCATGATTTCTTTTTCATTACAATAAAGAAAATACCAGCAGATTTACAAAGTGGGAGAATATCAAAGTTTATTCACAAATTTTTGTAGGTTAATAGATCAAAATAATACTACTTGGTATGGGTTAAATTACAAGGCTAGAAAATAAAACTGAACTTTAGTTACAGGAACCTATAACCTATAACCCTGAGTAATCATTAGTTTTTCATTTTTGTGTTTTTTAAGCCCTTGCATCTATGTAATGAGGCTGTTTACATTAATTACAGTAAAAAATAACCTTTGAAATATAGCTACCCTTATTTAAGATGCAATGATAGATGACTTAAGTAATATATATACAAACAGAAAAAAGCAGAAAAAAGAATATTCAGATAGACCTAAATATCCTTTAAAAAAATAGAAAATAACATTTTCAAAGCAATGTATTACAACAGTGACTTCACTGGATGGTGTTATGTTCCTTAATCTCCCCTGATAATATACTGAATATTTTGAGTCTTGAAACCTATATACTATTGGATAATATAACATATTCTATACAATAACATGACCCAAAAAAGTAGGATGCTATTTAAAATCACAAATAATAAACTATAATATATAGCATAATAAACACACAAAGTCTTCCCAAGTATAAATCAAAGTGTCTTTAAGTGCCATCATTAAATCTAAAAATTAACAATTATTATAAAGAAGCAATGTATCTAATCTCATAACAATAACCATCTCACCATTTGTATAAGTACAACAGTAAGCGATGGTAAAATGGCAGAGAACGTACTTTCTTTATCCTCATCCAGTCCAAAAGAATTAACTGACAGTCTATGGAAAAGAACCCACACCACAGATCACATTATTCTAAAGACTTAGTACAACCAGACTGTCCAAGGAAACACGTACAAACTGGATATATACTTTCTAAAATACTTATTTTATAATCTATGACAACACAAAAACTGAAGGATTTAGTTTTAGAAAAGTAAAAAACAAATAAATCTCCACTGATAAGCTATATAAAAAAGCAGCAGCATCCATATTTGTGAATGGCATTTTACTGGAAACACATATAGTACCAAAATGATTTTACAATAACAAGTACACTAATACCCTAAGTTCAATTTTCATATTATTCAGAAAGTTCTAAGAATTCAAATTTGTTATGTTTTCCCCTTTTTTAGAAGAGTTGTGAAATGAAGATATATTAATCTTGGCAGAATTTCACATCTTATTAAAATATATTCTCTATTTATTGACTAACACCATTACCTCAAAATCTATTTTGAAAGCATGCAAATGGTTTTCCAAATTTTAACACGGAATATAGGATACCACTTTAGTCCACAGAGTTTTCTGGTGAAGTAAACATGCAAAAGTGGTTACATACCAGAACTATTTGCTAGTTGCATTACTCTCATCATCACTACAGTTCTGACACTGTGAGGAGAAGTCCTTGTCAGTTGACTGGAACATCTTGAAATACCTAAAAATTCAACAAGCAGGACCTTCCCAATAGAATGAGAATATAGAGAGTCCTTGCTTTTACGTGTTCAAATTCCCTACATATTCATAATGAGCAAAATACTTTAAATATTTTACAACTCTTATGAAGAAAGGAGAAGAGGTAGGTAAATGTGTAAGGTGCAGCAAAGAGAAAACAACCAAATATATAATTAACATTCCTAATCTTCCTTTCCTATTACCCATAAGGATTAAAAAATTAAAACTAATGAAAAAATGAATTTTTTAAAGACTGAGAAAGAAATATAAAGGAAATAGAGCAGGGAGGAAAACCACTGGCACAGAGACTAAAGTAAAATCAAAACAGAGATTCTGCCTCCTGCTTCACAAAGAGCCTATTGAGTAGCAAGAGGAAACATGAACATTTCCTAGAAAGTGGAAATTATACTGGAAATTATCCATAAAAATTTTTTAAATCATAAATTGATAATTTTGAGGACTCTGACACTGTAAATTACTTTCTTTACTTTGTTAACTGAATCAAAACTATATCAGAAGTGAAAAACACTGGATGTACTATATACAACAGAACTCAGTCTTGGAAATAAACCCCCACAATCTATGCAGGTTTTAAAAATCTATGCAAAGTTTTCTTTTGAATATGGTAAACTATCTATACTTACACTGGAAATGTTTCATTAAGAAGACTTTGGAGTTAGAAAAACTAGTTCTTTTCAATTGCTGTGTGTGTGTGTGCGTGTGTACATCACACTTCTTTTTCTACCTTAAAAAAATAATAAAACCATTAAGATTGTACTTCACACATTTTCCAATGATTTTAACTTTAAAAATTCTGGTTCTACTTCTACTATTGGCTTAGAAACCTCCTACAACACCAGTTTTCCTGCATAGGGGAACTATAAACAATATACAAATATATAACAAATAAGTAACTACCTAAATGCACTAGAAATTGACTAAAAACAGGTTGATTCTGGAAAGGAATCAACACTTAGAAAAAGGAATGCAACTAAGTGAGATACCTGCTTACTGCAGCTTTTGGCCTGAGGGCAGACCTCAACCCACAATATGTAGGGCAACTAAAACTCAGACAAAAAAATCTTCAGTCTTTCTGGGCTGAAGAAGCAGTGGACAGGGTACACAATAACCAAAGCCACTGGAAAGTGAAAGGGGAGTCCTGGAAAGGACAGAGTTAGAAAGGACGAGCCCTAAATTCTGTATATACAGTCAGTTCAAATATATGGCTGACCTGTGAACCACACATTTGAGTAAAAAACAAAACAAAATGCCAACTAAGAATAAAATAATTGAAGATTTGAGTTACACACCAAGAAAGAGTTTGCAGTATGAGCCTAACCATCAACTGCCTGCTCAAACAAGTAAAAACAAAAAACTGATATTTTTTAGAAGAATAAAACACAATCCCGAGTCTCTACAACATAACTGTAGCAGTGACTAAGATATAATCCAAAATTATTTAACAAAGAAACAAGAAAACATGACCGACCCATTTTCAGGAGAAAAAACAACAGACAGAGATTAATTCTGAAGTGACTCAAATGTTACAAGGAGCAGACAAGGACTTTAAAGTAGCAATTAAAATTATATTCAAAAACATAAATGAAAACATAGTCAAATAAAAACTATAAAAAAAAGAACCAAACTCAAGTCTTAGAACTAGAAAATAATTATCTGAAATTTTTTAATTAATTGGATGAGCTTAAAAGCAGAATGGAAGTTATAAAACAAAGAGTAAACCTGATGATAGATGAATAAAAACCCAATCTGAAGAAGAGAAAATAAAAGGATTAAGAGATAATGAATCACCATGTAACTTCTTGCAAGAAACATCCAATCCACAAAGGCAAAAGAAACAAAAGCAAAAATGAACTAGTGGGACTTCATCAAGATAAGAAGCTTTTGCACAGCAAAGGATACAGTCAACAAAACTAAAAGACAACCCACAGAATGGGAGAAGATATTTGCAAATGACGTATCAGATAAAGGGCTAGTTTCCAAGATCTATAAAGAACTTCTTAAACTCAACAGCAAAGAAACAAACAATCCAATCATGAAATGGGCAAAAGACATGAAGAGAAATCTCACAGAGGAAGACATAGACATGGCCAACATGCACATGAGAAAATGCTCTGCATCACTTGCCATCAGGGAAATACAAATCAAAACCACCATGAGATACCACCTCACACCAGTGAGAATGGGGAAAATTAACAAGGCAGGAAACAACAAATGTTGGAGAGGATGCGGAGAAAAGGGAACCCTCTTACACTGTTGGTGGGAATGTGAACTGGTGCAGCCACTCTGGAAAACTGTGTGGAGGTTCCTCAAAGAGTTAAAAATAGATCTGCCCTATGACCCAGCAATTGCACTGCTGGGGATTTACCCCAAAGATACAGATGCAATGAAACGCCGGGACACCTGCACCCCAATGTTTCTAGCAGCAATGTCCACAATAGCCAAACTGTGGAAGGAGCCTCGGTGTCCATCAAAGATGAATGGATAAAGAAGCTGTGGTCTATGTATACAATGGAATATTACTCAGCCATTAGGAACGACAAATACCCACCATTTGCTTCGACCTGGATGGAACTGGATGGTATTATGCTGAGTGAAATAAGTCAATCGGAGAAGGACAAACATTATATGGTCTCATTCATTTGGGGAATATAAAAAATAATGAAAGGGAATAAAGGGGAAAGGAGAAAAAATAAGTGGGAAATATCAGAAAGGAAGACAGAACATGAAAGACTCCTAACTCTGGGAAATGAACTAGGGGTGGTGGAAGGGGAGGTGGGTGGGGGGTGGGGGTGACTGGGTGGTGGGCACTGAGGTGGGCACTTGACGGGATTGAGCACTGGGTGTTATTCTGTATGTTGGTAAATCGAACACCAATAAAAAATAAATTTATTAAAAAAAAGAAATAATGAATCAGTCTCAGAGACCTCTTGCTAAATCAGAAAGTCAATACATGTATTACTGGCGTTCCAGAAAGTGAGAAGAAAAAAGGACCAAAAAAATATTTGAATAAATAACAGGTAATAATTTCCCAAATGTGGTGGAAGACAAAATTTCAAAAGATTCAAGTTCAGTGAATCCTTAATAGAATAAACATGAAGAAGATCAATGATAAAGAAAAAGGAATCCTGAAAGCGTCACACACATACACACACACACACAAGACACATTAAATAAAGGAAAATAATGATTTAAATATACTTCAACAACAACAAAAAAAGCTGTCAGCCCAGTATTCTATATCCAGAGAGATTATATCCTTCAAGAATGAAGGCAAACTATCCTAGATAAACTGAAACTATGAGAATATGTTGTCAGTCAACCTGCAATACAAATGTGAAAGCAAATTCTTTAGACTGAAGGGAAATACCAGTTGGGTCTTCAGGAAAGAACGAAGAGTATGTGAAATGGTAAATAATGGGTAAATATAAAAAACTAAATTT